GGCGGGGATTCCTGAGGGACAGCCCGGGTTCTGTCCCGACACCGCCGGGGCGCACTGGGTCGTGGGCGGCCTGTGAGCCGTCGGAGCCGGTGGGAATGGCAATGTTCCTGTTTCTGCCGCAGGAGCCGAGCTGGATCGTCCCCTGTCAGCTTGAGGAGCCGTGCTGGAGAGGACGGTCATCCCTTCTTGTGAAGGAGCAAGGGTCACAGCTGCCCTGGTGCCTGATCCGGCTACCTAAACCAGAGTCTGGACAAAACTCAGAGAATAAAAAGCAGTTCTGTTTGTTGCAGGGCCTTCGGGTGCATTCAGGGCAGTCCCAGCCCACCCAGGGGCTGCACCCACAATGGACAATGGCTCACGGGTTTTTCACCCTTTATCAGTTTTGTCCATTTGCACATCGGGGCTGAATCCTCCAATTGCAGCTGCAGCCAATGCAGTCATTCACTCCAACTTGGCTCCCCCAATTCTCTGCTGTTTCCATCTCTTGGGGTCTGGCACAGTGAGGTGTCCTTGAGTCTGGGGCCTGCAGAGGAATTGTTTTGTGTAAAAATGGCAGAGCAGTAGCTTAGAACTGTACACTAAAGAATTCCAGGGTTATAGATACTGAAAAATATAGAAGCTGAAATCCTAAGGCATCAGTCCCTTTGGAGCACCCAAATACCCAGCGCTGTGGGAAATGGACTGAGGCCCGCAAGAGGCGAACCTTAGGAAAAAACCTGTCTGTTGGATCCAAGTCAAGCTATTTTATAGCCATGGAGGGTGCTTTTAGGTGCTGCTGGTGTGGCTGGGTTTGGTGTGATCCCTGGCACGGGCTCAGCCTCTACTCCCAGCCCGGATGGGAAACTGGCAGAAAAGGTGTACAGCATTATTTATGTTGGGCTTGGAGAGCTGGAAAGGGAGGGAAAGGGATCTTGATTGCGGACAAAAATGACCCAGAAGCCAGTGTGCCCTAACCCTCTTTTGAGTGGGCTGAGGTTGTGGGGTTTAGTTTTGAGCCTTATCGGTGCTGGCTGTGTTTATTTGAGATCAGTGGATTACAGGTATAGAGTGTTTGCTTATCAGGCAGGTTCACCGTGGCTGCAGTGGACACTCAAATTGTTTGCATTCAGCAGTTTGTCACACTGCCCTACACTTTCCTTAGCCTTGGATTAAGTGATGGTATAACAAGGCAAGTTGCCTGTAATTTCATCTGCTTCATCCTAGTGGGCCATCTTCTCTCTCATCTCTTACTAATCTGGGCACTGAATGCCTGCATAAATGAGTTAGTGCACAGGAGCAGTAATTATTAGGTCCTTTTGTGCTTGAAATTCTGTGCCTGGTTTGGGATCACAGTGTGCTTGTATTTCAGAAATTATAATGTGAATGATAGTGAGACAGCTAGAAATTTCCAGGTGGAAAGCTGGAATAAATCCCAGTTGAGAGATGAGTGGATATCCTATAACACAGCTCCAGTGAGGGAGTGGTTTCAACTTAAAAGGACTGGTTGTAGCTGAAAATAGAAGCTGATGAGATCAGTATAATAATTCTATTTCATAATTATTTATTATTAGTCTGGAACTAGCTGATGATATCTGAGCATTTTCTTATTCTTTAATGGTTTACTTTTCAAATGTAAAAAATTCCTCATAGAGGACAAACTCCAATGAGACGCAGGGATCATTTAAAACTTTAATGGCTGTTATTACTCATAGGGAAGTGTTGGCTTTCAAAGAC